TCCTGTGCATCTAATTTTCCACATCAGATTGTACTCTATTTAAATTTTGATTTCTAGATACCGACATAGGATGATAGGACTAATTTGTTACAAGCATTGGGATCTTGTTTATGATTTAGAACAAAGAATAGGATAAGGTCTTGGGTGTGAGAACCAAATGAAACTATGCTTAATATTGAAGTAGTAGGTGTTTGACTTAGTTAAGACGCACCAGAATCAATTCTCCAAAAAGTAGTTTATTAATAAATACTGAGGTCCCTTGTATAGATATTTCAAGATCCTTCATCCTAATAAGAACAATGTTAAAGGCCAATAAGAAACTGATTAAACTAAACAAAGAAATAACAATATTAATAATAATAGGAAGCAACTACTAACCATTAATAATAATAAGACTATAATAATAATGATAATAATAATGACGATAAGACTCTAATAGGAGACACTCACATCATAATTCCTGAATTAACTTCACTAAAGGAGTAAAGTGTGAAGTGCATAAAAATTAATCGTTTAAACTAACTCAACAACCATTTCATTAACTTAAGAAGGAACTGATTCCTATTCCCCACGGAATTTACATACTAGCTTATCGTTGTAAGATGTGGTAGTTATATATGGTAATTTCCTCGAGTAAGAGTACGACAGTACGTAAAAGTTGAAACAATATAATTTCATTGTAAGTCAGCTCATGAAAGCCTTAGGAATCGCAGAATTCAAATAAACTGCGATTAATCAATGTTTTATTTGTAACTTCATTCTTTTATAATTTTTTAAAGAGGACCAGATAGCATTGAGGGATTGTCTTTAAAACTGGATGTGCTATTCATTTATTGGGTGGTACTGGCTCTTGCAGCTTCTAAAGAACCGAAGTTTAGGATGGAGCATGTTCTGTAAAAAAGTTGTCTTGTCTCATGCTCAGTCCTAATAAAAAACTATTGACATATCTGTACTTTATCTTGAAATGAAAGATGCACTTCTTTATGTTGAGTTCGAGAAAACTTTATATAGCCAAAAAAATCATTTATGATCGATGTAAGCCTCTTGCACAATCTTATTTTGTTTGAATGGCTGCGACTTCAACATATTACTGAAATGTTTATGTTGTTATCTATGATCTCATTGGGTACGTTGACTCAACACTTATATTTTAGTTCAACTGAACTGCATGTGAAAACATCTTTCTACTCTTATATATCTGGTATATACATACATGCACACAGAAAACAAAAAAGTGCTTCATGCCCAAAGAACAAGTTTGTGAAATCTGATTCTCTGCATAACACAAGTTTCTTAGTTCATTTAATAATGAAGTGCTAAACGATTTGAAACCCAAATCCAACAATATGAATTTATATGTGCCTAGGGACAATTGGGAAGATGGCAATCCAGCTTCCTGGGGATCTAGTCCTCAGTATCAGGTCCGCAAGCAAGTATTTTCGTTTTGACTGTGTTTCAGAGAAGATTTCAATGAATATAGTATTGATTTGAGTTTTTCTATTTTAAGCCTCCAAGCCCTCATTCAAGACAATATGAAGCACCCACTCCTGGTTCTGGCTGGAACAACTCCTCCACAGGCAGTTATAGTGATGCTGGAACTCCAAGAGATAATAGTTCATCATACGGTAATTGAACTAAAAAGTTGATGATGCAACTGACAAGTTGGATTTTTTACTTGATAACCTGATCTCTAACTCTTGTACAATACACATTTTTCCTCGACTCCTTTTATTTTGATGTTATTGATTTGTTTTCGTTATTTGAATGTAGCTAATGTTCCAAGCCCTTACTTACCATCAACTCCTGGTGGGCCGCCACCGATGACCCCAAGTTCTGCATACTTGCCTGGAACTCCTGGTGGGCAACCAATGACTCCTGGGGGTGGCAGTCTGGATATGATGTCACCTGTAGTAGGTATGTGGTGACGTTTCTGTCTGAGCTTACTATTTTACACAAACAACATTCAAGATCACGTAAACAATTAAGCTTGTGCGTCTACTTCCCAATTTACTTAATTTCTAACTTGTACCTCAATTACATATCAGTCTGACAATAGTACTAGTGGTCTAGGAAAGTTGCAAAAATAAATATGTTTCTTACTCCCTCTATCCCACTAAGATTGTCCCATCTTTCTTTTTTGGTCCGTCCTAAGATTGCCACATACCAAATTTGGTAACATATGCATGGTTTTAAATCATTCTTACTTTGTTCTTACTTTATCAATTCACTATCAACCACATTAACCCACTTTTCTTAATAAACGCACCACCTCCTTATGTCCCCCATTTTAGTGGGACGGAGGTAGTAGTTAGTCTAAATTGGTGTGACCTATCTAATTACCATTTCAAAGTTAGATAGAATGGCTAAAGATTCACCCTCCCCTAGTTAGTTCGTCAACTCTTCTTAGGTATAATGGCTAAAGCTTTGCCCCTCAGCCCCCTATTAAGTTACTTTACTCTTTCCTCTTCAATTGAACCGAATAGTTTTCTTTACCAACAAACAACAAATGGAAGTAGATGCTGAATTGTCGAGTTTGTCTTGATGCTTATGCAATTTAAATTTCAGGTGGAGAAGGTGATGGGCCTTGGTTTTTGCCTGATATTGCTGTAAACATACGGAGAGCTGGGGAAGAGAATCTTGCGGGGGTAATTCGAGAAATTCACGCGGTATGTATTGCTAGATAATGTTTACGTAGTAGTTATTGTGGAAATATGTCAATGACTACTACATTAATGCAGTCTCAAAATCAAATTTGTCTTTTCCACCTGTCATGTATCAAGCATTTTTTTCTTTGTTTAAATAAGTGTACTGTTGATCAAGCGATATAATTTTTCTTCATAGGCATCTCAATATGATAAACATATTTAAACAACACAAATTTTTAAGGCGAAATTCACAAGAATAATCCCTGCTTTTATGGATAATATAATAATAATCCGGGAGAACTACCAAATAACCCCTCAAACTTACATAAAAAGTGCAAATCACCCCTTATATAGGAGGCTGTGTCCAGCCGTTGACATTTGGGGTGGTTCCCGGTGGAATTTTTTTGAGCATTTTATTCATGAAGTCTAGATTACTCATACCAAATTTCAGCTAAAAATTCAATCGGGAAGGCAGTCAAATGAATTTTTGAAGAGAACTGCGCAGTCAAACAAATCAGTATATTTCAGAAAATCATTTGACTACTTTTCCGGTTGAAGTTTTAGCTGAAATTTGGTATGAATAAAGTAGACTTAATGAATAAGATGCTTAAAAAAATTCATCAAAACATTCTACCAGGAACCGCCCCAAATGGCGACGGCCGGATAGAGCCTCCTATATAAGGGGTGATTTGCACCTTTTATGTAAGTTCGAGGGCCTATTTGGTAGTTTTCCCTAATAATCCCTATTGAGAGTGTCCATAAAAATAATTCATACTAGCAATAGTGTCCACAACAATAAATCGATTGAATTCAAACTAATAGCCATGTTGTACTCCTAACCCCTACCTCCACTTTCCCTTCACCACTCTTCGGCTCGGTTAACACTAGATGTTCCAACCTAGATAAGACCCATATGGACATTGTGGTGTTGAGATTAAACGGGTTTGAGTTTGCCCCAAGAAGAGTGGAGAAGAGAAAAGTGGGAATAAGGATTGAGAGTATTAAACTGGCATTAATTTGAATTTACCCCAATTTATTCTTATGCACATCATTGTTAGTTCATATTATACTTGTGGACATTCTGAGTAGGGATTATTATTGTAGAATGCCTAAAAGTTAGAATTATAGAAACTACAACTCATGATTTACTGAATCTACAAGTGTAATTTCAAAAATAAAACTACAATTCATGATTTACGGAATGCCTAAAGTTTAGACTTGGTTCTGACTTCTGAGTCTGTTTCTCTTATACGGCCTGAGACCTGTATTTTTCTTTTGGCCCAGGATGGTTCCTGTAGTGTTGCCCTTGGTTCAAGTGGTAACGGGGAATTAATCATTGCTGCCCCAAGCGAGATTGATATCATCGTTCCAAAGAAGTCAGACAAAATCAAAATTATGGGCGGCGCTCATCGGGGGGCTAGCGGGAAGCTTATTGGTGTGGATGGCACTGATGGAATTGTTAAGGTAGATGATACTCTCGATGTCAAAATATTGGACATGGTTATCTTGGCCAAGTTAGCATAGAAGTCTCTTGCACTGCTTAGTGCTGATTGTTTTCACTAGCAAAGTAGCTGGCTGTGCTGATAGGGGAGTTATTTGCCGTTGTTTTATTTATATATATAAATAAATGTGCGTGTGTATTTATATATATAGGTGCAGAATATATATCAATTTTCCCTTTCAAATTCGTTATTATTGTGTGAACTGTGAAGTACAATGCAGAATAATCGCTCTGTTTTTTGTACCTTGCTACCTCTGTATTTTTGTTAGTAATTACAATTAGACCGAATGGTGATAAATTTGCCATAGTATGACGAGGAATTGCAAGCCCTTGATACGATGTGATGCAAATTCCCAAATATGCAGACATTTGGGATTTTTGCAGAATGCAGACTCGCACAAATAGAAATTATAAGGATCATCATGGACTGCATATGGTATAAATGTCATTTTTTGGACCTTCTACAAAGATGTCAAACAAAGCAAGGGTGGTTCTGGATTGAGATTGCCGGTGTTTGGGTTTGGGCTTGGTCCGGCCCAAACAGTTGGTTTTTTTATTTAAATTTTTAATTAAATGGATGGGTATGGACCCGGGACTGGTACTGTTTGAACCCGGAACGGAATCTGTACCGGACCAAATCGGGTTGCTACCGGGCTTCAATTATTTAGAACTAGGGATGGACCCGGGCCGGGCCGGTTCCGGTTCCGGGCCGGGCCCGGGCGGGCTTTTTTTGGGGATTGTTGGGCCCGGAACCGGCCCGGGGTGATACCGGGTCCGGTTCGTGCCGGGTCGACCCGGTCGGGTCCGGGCCGGGCCGGGCCGGGCCCGGGCTTTAAATTTTTTTTTTTTTTTGATACCAAAATTAAATTAATATTACTTGGACATAAAAAAGGGTAAAACATATTTATTTGATATTTGTAGTACAATTGAAAATTGAGCAAAAATAAAAACATGAAATACACTTTATAATAAGTAATGAAGTATGAATCAATTAGAATTTCCTCCATCTTCAGTTGTTTCTTCCATAAAGTGGCGAGTGGGTTCAATGCTGATTTCTTGAGTTCTACGTTTGGCCTTCAACCAATCGTGGAAGCAAACAAGCGTCTCAAGAGAGTTTGCGCTTAATCTCGTTCTATAATCCGTTAGGACGTTACCGGCCGCACTAAACTCTTGTTCCACAGCAACTGTTGATACCGGCATTGCTAGCACTTGCTTAGTCATCTTTGATAAGATCGGGAACGTTCTCTCTTTTTCCTTCCACCACTGAAGAACGTCAAAGTCATCCCCTTCTTCATAATCAACAGGAAATGTTAGATACAAAGAAAGCTCGTTGATCGAGCTTTGTTCATTAACCGGAGATGATTTACTTTTTTTCATAAGATTGCCAAATGCAGATTTGAAAATTGATTTTCCTTTAGATGAAGAAGATGTTCGTGGCGGGGGAGGGGGTGCGTTACCATATTGTGCATGAAACTCATTAAATAATTGATATAATAAATTACTAACCTCTTGGAATTGTTGTTTAGGGTCTATGGCCTTGTCGTCGTACATAGGCAATGGACCAAAAAAAGAAGCATAATAGTAATCTAAACATTTCTCCAAAGAAGCAAGTCTAAAACGAGGATCAAGAATAAATGCAATACCATATATATGCGGAATATAGGAATAATATTTTAAAAACTTTTGTTTCATGAAGTCACAAAAATAACTAACGTAAGCGGCGTCAGAGAATTCAGAAAAAGCGCCGGTGAGATTAACAGCTTCAACAAAAAATTGGTTTGCGGTAGGTTTATAAACATGACTAAAAGTTTCAGTGGCATTATTAAAAAACACCAAAACATTCACAATTTTTTCACAAGTGTCGATATCGGCCGGGTTTATAATATAGTTAGCATATTCTCTTAAAAAAGCGGGAAAATGGTTTTTATATCTAATAAGCACTTTAATTAAATTATAAGTACTATTCCAACGAATAGACAAATCTTTAGGAAAAGCACAATATTTGACACGTCTTTCTTTCAAATAATTTCTCCATTGCATCTTAAGTGGATTACTAGCCCAAATCAGTTTAATCCCCCCCTTGACCACCTCCAAAGCATCTCCCAACGCCGCTAGACCGTCCTTTACACATAAATTTAAAATATGACATGCACAACGCTGATGAAAAAACCTACCCATCAAAGAAGATGAACCACACAATTCACGCAATCTAGGAATAGCCGCAGTATTATTAGTAGCATTATCAAAACCAATAGCAAACACCTTATCAATCAAATTATACTCAATTAAAATACGCTCAATGAGAATATAAATATTATCGCCGGTGTGTCGATCATTAAATTCACGAAAAGCAAGAACACGTTTATGCATACACCAATCATCATCAATATAATGTGCAGTCAAACCCAAATAATATAAATGATGATGAGTATCCTCCCATATATCACTACATATGCTAACACGGCCATCAAAGTTTGCGAAAAATATTTGTAATTTTTCCTTTTCCAAAACATATTGCCTTATAACTTCTTTTTTAATTGTTTTGCGACTATAGTTTCGAAATTGAGGATTTAAAGTACCTTGAGCATATTCTTTTAATGCAAGACTTTCGGAAAAAATAAAAGGCAAATTTTCTTCAACAATCAAATGCGACATACCAGTCAAATGTCTTTGATCATCATAGGAGAAATTACCGAAGGGTTGGCCACTTCCAAATCTTGAAATTTGTGTTTGCTTTCCCTTGCCTTTGTCTGATTTCGCATATTCCGCCGGGTGCTTGGCCTTAAGATGCCTTGTGGCGCTCCCGTACCCTCCAGAAGTTCCCAAGTTATACTTCTTTGGGCAATGCTTGCAAGTGGCGTACCATATCTCGGTTTGGGGGTCTTTAAATTTTGTAAAATTTGCCTTAAAGACTGATTCAGCTTTCTCACCGCCTTGGGAAGAAGTAGCCACTTCCGCTTGCTCTTCATCATCGTACGGTGTGCCATGAACCTCGTGCTCGACCGTTTGCGGATCCCTCTCCTCCGCATCATCATCCTCGAGCTCTTCTTCGTCAATGGTCGGGATGTTTTGTTGATGGAAGAAGGCCCCTTGATTTTGTCGTAATAGTTGTTCTACTTGCTCATCGGACATCGCAGACCCATATCTTTGGTTATAATCCGCATCAAAATCATCTCGGGTTTGAGATGAAGCCCCGGCCCGTCCCTTACCTTTGTGCAAGCTTGGATGATTCCTCGCAATCTCCTTTGTTCGGTTGCGGCGGAGGTTACCCATATCTACTGAAGCTCTACCACGTTCCATCTTAAAAATATAACAAATATTAAATTCGAAGTACAATTAAACTAGTGAATTTCAAATACAAATCTAACAAATCGAACTACAATGTAACAATTAAATTCGAACAATTAAATTGACTAGAATGTAACAATTAAAATGTACCAATTAAATTAACTTTTATTATAAAATTTGAACAACTTCAATATAAATAACAATTAACTAGTTCAATAGGAGAAATTTTAACTAGACATTAAATGTAACAATGCAATGAAATTTAGAGGAGAATAATAAATGTAACAATGAATTAACTATTTTGATAGGAGAAATTTAACTACTTTTATATTAAGTGTATAAGTAGATATAGTAAATATATATATATTTAAAAGTAGATAATAAGTAGATTAACTAGTAATATATAATATTATGTTTATAGTATATATAATATAAATATATGACTATAAGATGAGGAATACACTTAATATATTAAGTAGATAAATTTTCGAACAACTATAATATAATTAACAATTAACTAGTTTGATAGGAGAATAATAAATGTAACAATTAACTAGTTTAACAAGTAAACAATTAATTTCGAATTCTTGTCTAACAATTTTTAATGTAACTATTTCCAATAAACTAACAACTACCAATTAACCACTTTTATAGCAATGAACTAATACTAAAAGTCTAAAATGATAAGTGAAACAATTAACAACTTTTATATTAATGAAGAATGTATTAGTGTGTAAACAAAATTAATGGGAATGTTTGATAGGAGAATAATAAATGTAACAATTAACTAGTATTAGAGGAGATTAAGAAATGTAACAATTAACTAGTTTAACAAGTAAACAATTAATTTCGAATTCTTGTCTAACAATTTTTAATGTAACTATTTCCAATAAACTAACAACTACCAATTAACCACTTTTATAGCAATGAACTAATACTAAAAGTCTAAAATGATAAGTGAAACAATTAACAACTTTTATATTAATGAAGAATGTATTAGTCTGTAAACAAAATTAATAAGTAGATAATATTATGTTGATAGTATATATAATATAAGATGACTAACAAGATGACTAACACACTTATATATGTAGTAAATATATATTTATAAGTAGATAATAAGTAGATAATATTATGTTAATATTACTACAAGATGACTAACACACTTATATATTATACTTTAATATATAAGTATATTACTATAAGTTGAGTAATACACTTATATATTATACTTTAATATATGTATAACTAATATAAGTATATATTAAGTATATGTAATATGTGAATATAAGTAAATAAATATACTTATATAAGTAACAATAATATAATAATTAGATATTAATATAAGTAGATAATAAATTATATAAATATAATATACGTAGTAATAAATTTGAGAAATTGAAAAGATGAAGATGGGAAAGATTAGTAGAGAATAGAGATTAGAGATTTAGAGAGTAGAGATATTTGGAGAAGATGTGTAGTAAAGTGTATAGAAAAAATGGAGTATTTATAGATATTTAGTACCCCACCCCCACCCCCCACCCCCCCACCCCCCAACCCGGGACCCCCTGGAAGGCTCCCAACGGCTATAGAGCCGTTTGGGTTGAAAGCCAACGGCCATAAGGCCTGTTTGGCTGAAAAACAAATTTTTTTTTTTTTTTAAAATGTAACCGTTAGGCCCGACCCGGGCCCGAACCGGCCGGGCCGGGCCACCAAACAAATGAACCGGACCCGAACCGCCAAACCCCCCCGGGCCGGGTCAAAGCCCGAACCGGTTCACCAGTCCCGGTTCCGGGCCGGGCCTGCACAGTGGCGGGCCGGGCCGGTTCCGGGCCGGGCCGGCCCGGTTGAGTCCATCCCTATTTAGAACCAGGACCGACCCGCCTCCAAGCCTAGTTCAAACTTCAAACCCAAACCTGTCAAAATCCAAACCTGCAGAGTCTGCGATCAATGTCTTAAGAAACTGCTGTCATCTACCAGTGGTGTTAACCGGGTCACCGAACACCGGGTGTGGAGTAGACATTATCCCTATTTTGGAATAGTACAAGGACCAGGCAGGTCCATATCTGCAGCTTGTTTCAAGATTTGGTAACAGAATCGGTCAAACTCATTTCCTATTTTCCTCTAAAATAGGTGAAGTCCAGTTCTGACTTTTTATAAGCATGCTAAAAAACCAAAACTGGGCTGATCGAAAACCGGGATCTAAATGCACATGTTTTTTCCGACAATACAGGTAAGGTCGCTCTTGGACTTGGGATCTAGACCTAGGGATGGACTCGGGCCGGGCGGCCCGCCCTGGAACCGACCCGGACCGGTCACTGTTTGAACCGGCCCGGCCCGGGAACCGGGCCATAGGGCGGTTCGGGTCGACCCGACCCGCTAGTCATACGGTTCGGGCTCGGGCCCTAGGAATGGTGAACCGGCCTGGCCAGTTCGGGCCAGGTCCGGGCCAAATTTATTTTTTTTTTGTGATTTTTTTTTAAGTTTTTGGGTTGGGTTGGGTATTTTGGGTCATTTGAGGTGGTTTGGGGGTGAGGGGGGAGGTTGGGAGTTAATTAGGAGAAGCCAAAAAAAATTAGATTGGACCGAGGCCCGACCCGAACCAGACCCGGGGGTTACCCGGGCCGGTTCCGGGCCTCCCATATCCTGAACCGTGAACCGGCCGGGCCCAGGCCCGAACCGGCCCGAGGCCATGCCTATCTAGACCTGCCCGCGTTTCCAACTGGAAATGGAACCGCACACTACCACTTCCAAAACCGGCGGTTCCGGTTCCAATCTGGTTCGGTTTTCAATTTTTTTACATTTAAAATTCAATTTAATTTTTAAAAATGGAGTGTGTAATAAGACAATTCGAAAAAAAGAGTTCCAAAAGATATTAATATAATTAATAATTATTATTTCTATATCTAACTAAACCAAGTATAATACGAGTAATTGTTTTGAAGTATTTTACTAATATAAAATTTATGTATTCTTATAACTATAATTTGTACGCAGTAATATTTTAGTATTATAAATAGTACTTACTAAAAATTATATATTTGAAGTATTATAATCTTTTATTATTATTAGTATTATAACTACTTTTAATGAAATTAAATTATTATAGCTATCATTATTGTCTTTATGATTATTATTAGTTTTATTTATTTATTTATTTATTTATTTATTTATTTATTTATTTATTTATTTATTTATTTATTTATTTATTTATTTATTTATTTATTTATTTATTTATTTATTATTTATTTATTTATTTATTTATTTAGTTTTTTTAGAATAAAAATCAGGTTCCAAACCGGAACCGTCCGGTTCCGCCCTGGAATCGCCGGTTCTGGTTCCAAATTTTTGAAGAACTGAACGGACTAGTGAACCTCCAGTTCCAAACCGGAAGTATACTATGCCGTTCGGATAAAAAACCGGCGGTTCCGGTTAAACCGCGGATGGGATTTCAACCTCCAACGATCATCCATGTGTGATATTTGAAAATCCCTGTGAATTTTCTTTTGAATTCCAGACTACTCGATTTTTGGAAAACATAGACGTAAACTTTAACACAAAAGACAATAAAACTAGAAAGTGAAAACAACGAATCCTAGAAGTAAACACGTTCATAACGCTGTTTTTTTTCAAAATAAAGATACGAATCAAGTCTATTACTACAATACAATAACGTAATTGTAACTAGCTATGTTGGATGGAATGTGGATGAGAGTAGCTCCACTTGAAACTGAAAGTAAGGTAATGAAATTATCATCTTCGGTTCCAGCAGGCTGATGCATGCATGTCCTCATATGCTAAAGGAATTGCCATAGGAATCTTCATCACCTTGGGACACTGGACCATACCTTCCTTCTACAAAACGTCAGAATTTTAACCTATTGCTTTTTCAGCTGTATCAGAATAATAACAGAGATTTTTTTTTTTCAAATCATGTTCAAGAAGTTAAGCTTATTCATTCATAAGATAATAATACAATGGATATTTAACTTTAGGAAAGGTGTTCATTCGATTTTTATGTATACCAGTATACCACATTGATCGAGAAAATTGCTATTGCGAAGACAAACACAGAGGTTTTTCCCCAAAATAGGACTTGATGTTTGGTTTTCACTAAATAAGACTGACATTACCTTTTTTATCCCTAATTCTATTTAATTAATTAATTGGTCTAAATAATTGCTCCCCCTAGTTTCCTTGCACAACCAAGGCAGTCCGTTGGTGGCGGCAGAACTCCGGCAGCCGGTTTGCGGCAGATTCCGACGGCGGCGGCGAACTCCGGCAATTAAATAACCCAATTAATTGCACCCTAGTTATCTTGCACAACCAAGGCAGTCTGTTGGTAGCGGGGCAGTCCGGTGGCGGCGGCAGCAGATTCCGGCGGCGGAGGCCGGAGGCAGAAACGCTGGGAAACATCCAGAAAAAATTCTGGAAAATTTTCCGGCGGCGGCAGCAGGTGGTCGGAGGCAGGCAGTTGGCAGCAGTCCAGGGCAGAAATAGGGATACTTTGGTCCAATCACACATAAAAAGCCCCATTTAAAAATGTTTAAACTAAGTGGTCCTATTTTGGGGAAAATGCTATCATTGACGATCCTACCCAAGTTTGGGCCTGAGTCGAGATACCTAAAAAGGCCCCTATAAATTACTCCCTCCGTACCAAAAGGTTGGCCAAATTTTCTTCTTGGGATATCCCAAAAGGATTTGTCATTTCTACTTAAAATAAGAAATATGTGACTAACATTAATTCTCTCTCATCTGCACAAATTTCAACCACACAATTTTTACTTTATTAATCCACGTGAAAGTCAACTTCGACCAACCTTTTCGGGACAGAGGGAGTACAATATTTTTGAAAGATTATAAATTAGAATTTTATGTAAATATGTAGTATAATTTGTTTTGAAGTTAAAGATAAAACATCAAAAAGTAATGAATAAAATAAATATTTTACATAATACTACATACGGAGTACAATATAACATTACCAAATGTATTTAAAATAACTAATTAAGTATAACCCCTCAAACAATATTAGTTGCAAAATATAAATTAATCAAAGTGCTCAATAAATTACTTGTCAATTGATAACATAACTAATTCACAAAATGTCAAACAAACGTTGAAACTAATATTAGTTAAACAAATGTGCTAAATAATACATACTGACATGTTAGTAAATACGAGTGCATAACCTACTTAAAATTTAAATTTAAATGTAAAAAAACTGAACTTGTTTAATTGTGCATCTCAATTCTTTTAAATATGCCAAATTAAACACAAGCTGGATTTTCTAAGCATGGATCAATCAAGTTGCAAAGATAAAAAAGCTATGGATCAATCAATGGCATCAGAAATCACCCTTGGAGCAATTTCAGCACTCCGATTAAGACAATTTTTTTTTTCATTGTGAAAAAAACTTTTTCATTGTGCATAACCTTTCTATCTTTACAGTTTCAAAAGTCAAAACTTATGTTCAGTCGTTCCGCTTCACTTTGTTGGTACTTGATCGTCTATTTTAGTTTTAAAGCACAACAACACATAGAATTTAAAGCAAGGCACATCTTTTATAATTTAAATACATGTAAATAATAGGAAGATATTTTGAATTATGGACCCTTAATTTTCAATATTTTTGGGGCCCTGAGGCCTTTGCCTCACCGGCCTCTAACAAGGCACAGCCCTTATGCTATGTTTCACCCCTAATTAGGGTAAAAAACCCATACCACATTAACACCTTTACATGACTTACATCATACACAAAACGGTTTAGAAAAGTAAAAGTTAATACTACCAAGTAAAAAAATGTTTTGAAGTGAAAAATAGTTTAAAATATCCCTCCACTTTTTTCTAGCTTTTAACTTAAACTTTAAAGGTGTTATTTAAGCAGATGAAACTAGTAGCATTTGAAATACTAGAGCAAATAAAGAAACCCAAATTTAAAAACTCAACATATATACCTAGGTTCTCCAAAACTAAAAAACATATAAATGCAAATTCGATAGTTTGTGAAACTATTATCAATTTATTGGAATTTTGATGTTAATTATTTTGTATAAGTGTAATTGTCTATGCAATTGATTTTGATTTTAATAAAGAGAAGAAACCCCCAAAATGAATTGTCCGAAATCACAGACATTTCTGTTTATTAAAATTATACCGTAAGTAGCATGGTTGAAAACAATTTTACTGACCTGGCGCACGTTGAATCCTGTGTCAAAGCGAGAGGAAGATTCGGCCTGATCCCCGCCAAGCCGCGCATAATGGTCGGAGAAGCACTGAAACGGATATTGACGATCCAAATTAGGCAAGCCAAATACCTCATCTGAAATAACTCTCCGGTGGTACAGAGGCGGCGGATGGGTCGTGGTTGCGTAACAATCGATTCCGGCAGAGATGTTGCGAGGATCATCAGAGAAGCCGTATTTCTCACCAATCGGAAAATTCCTAATAAGACTATTAAAAACACCACAATTATTCCCGTCAGCAGATCGAACATCCATTTCACGGGAATTAACTCTTAGATCCCCGGATCTGTAATTGATGGACCCGACAATTTGGGATTTGCCGGCAGTTCCGTCGGCGGAGCGGACGGGCTGGGCGACGCTCTGAGGAGAAGACGGGCCGGGGCTTCGGACTGTGAGATATTGGCTGCTTTGGAGGGGCTGATGAGAAGATTCAACTCCCATGACGCCGTTTATCGACGGCGATGAGGGACTTTCCGCCGATTTGGTGTTCTCTTGGTGTTGGCGAGTAGGGCTCCCGTGCCGGAGACTGCTTCCGGCGAGGCGCGGCATTGCGCCGAATCTTCGGGTCTGGCTTTTTTGCACAGAGCCGGCGGCAGTAGAGAAACTGGTAGTCGGAAGTTTTCGCTCCTCCGGGACTCTCCAGTCGTCGTTGCGGCATTTCTGTTGGCAATTTACCAGCAAAAATGATGAAATCAATTGATCAAAATGAACATAGTATAATTGCATAGGAAAAAATAATTAAAATATCACAAATTTTGAAAAAGTGCGAGAACATCCAAATTTTCATGTAAAATTGACTTTGCATCCCATATTTTTTTTTGATGAAAATAATTTTTAGTGTATTAGTCAGATAAAACTTAATAGAAGAAGTAAATTGTCATTTTAAGCACTCATCTGGCTGCTTATTACTTTTAGCTTCGAATTACGTAAATTTAAATAGAAAAACTAGTTGAAAACACACTTTTAACTTTTGTAAAACACGAAGTAGAAAAGCATTCTTTTAAGCAATGACAATAACTCTATAAGTGCACAGAAATTAAGGAGTAAGTAGGGAAACTCCAATTGAAGACTTGTTTTGGAAGTGCAATTTTGGCAACTAAATTTTATCATCACATTCCTAGAGAAAGATGCACATGATCTTTGTTGTTCTTTTTGTATTATCTTTGTTGTATTTTCTAATAGGGGATGTGTAATATGTTCCTCGATATGGGGAATGAACCACGATCTGTATTCGACTGTAAATTGATGTTGGTTATGAGTCATTTTTGTTTTAGCTTATTCTTAAAAAAATTGCACCAACAATTCACCTTCAACATATTTTTGATTTAGAGCATTTTTGTCTTTTCATATGAGGTTGAAGTGCAAAAATAAAGATTTTTAAAAACGGAGTGCAAAGTTCAATTTAGACAATAATATGGAGCGCAAACTCAAATTACCCTTACAAATTACGTACGTACCTGGAGATGGCTAGCTACTTGCATTCTTGTGAGGCCACGAACATTCATCAGCTCAAGTATTTCTTTTGGATAACACTCTAATTCATATATATGCATCCAATTGTAATTAATTCGTACACATATTTAACAATACCTCGTGGCATGTTGAATCCACTAAACGGTGAACTTTAAAAACAAAATCCAGAACAGTATATAAACATCCATTTAGGACAAGATTACTTCACGAGTTACTAAGCAGTGCTTATTAAGACCCGCGTTAATAAGCGATGTATAAAGTAAGCAATGTTGTAAGATCATGTTTACTTCAAAGGGTTTAAAACACCGTTTAAATCCCTATACATATCTAGACACACAAACATTCATGAACACAACTATATAATATAATATGTGGGGTCACCACGTACGTATACCCCTACCCCTACCCCACCCTAATACCCCCCGTACCCCCACCCTACACCCTACCCCCAATTCCACCCCTTGACCCCTACCCTTACCACGACCTTACCCTCTACCCCTACGCCCCTACAACCCTTCATACCCACCCATACCCCTAACAACTACCCTAGTCGTAGGGGTGAGGTCGGGGTAGGGTCGATGTAAGGGCAGGTGGTATGGGATAACGGGGTAGGGTCGGGGTAGGTAAGAGGGTACGGGTGGGGTTATGGTCGAGGGTAGGGTGGGTGTGATGGGGTAGGGTGGGGTCGAGGTAGGGGAAGGTGGTGGGGGTCGGGGTCGGGGTGGGGTTATGGTTGGGGGTGGGGTAGGGTGGTAAGGGCAAGGGTAGAGGGGTGGGGCTAGGATGGCGGTAGGGTGGGGTCAGGATCATGCTGAGGTAGGGGTAAGTGGTAGGGGGTGGGGTAAGGTCGTGGTTAGGGTAAGGGGTGAGGGTAGTGGGCAGAGGGGGGGGTCAGGGTAAGGTAGGGTAGGGTAAAGGTTAGGGCTTAAGTAGGGTAGGGTAAAGGTTAGGGCTTAAGTAGGGGCAGGATCGGGGTGGGGCCCAAGTAGGGGCATGTGGTAGGGGGTAGGGTAGGGCAGTGGTAAGGTACGAGGGTGGGGTAGGATAGGGTGGGGGGTGGGATGGCGGTAGGGTGGGGTCGAGATAGAGGTGGGGTAGGGTCATTGACGCGGGGGGTGGGTATTGCTCAAGGGGTAGGGTAGGGGTAAGGGGTGATGGGTGGTGGGTAGGGTAGGGGTAGGGTGGGTAGAGGGTAGCAGGTAGAAGGGTAACAATAGGGCAAGGGCAAGGGGTAAGGGTAAGAGTAAATTCGGAAACTGAAAAAGTTTAAAGTGTTGTTTAATTAATTCATGAGGGTGGTATGTTTAGTAAGCGACACTTTAAACACCTACTTCGGTTAGTAAGCAGCGTGCATGTTTACTTCATCTGTCTTACTAAGCTAACTGTGACTTTAGTATCGAAGTAAACACCTCCTTAATGTTAAAGAATTGGTTGACTAAATTAATTAGTAAAATGTTAAAAAATTCAAGAGCACAAACTACAATCAGTTTAATAAATCGATAACACTACAAATAAGATGATACACTTCATCTATTCTCCTTTAATTGCAACATTTTCATTTTCACGCTTAACAATGCACAATTTTGCTATCATATATTTAATTCTCTGTGTAAAAAAGTTGAAAAAATACTTTTTCAAAATTTAAAATGAAAGAAATTTAATACGGAGTATTTAAAAAATTAAATTCAATTGTAGTCAACCTAGAGCACGCGAATAGTCGTGTAAAATTTGTAATGTTGCAATTGTTTAAGAATAGAGGTAAGAATGGTTGTTGCACGAGTCATATTCTCCAATGTTTTATTTAAAAAGAAGCAGTGAAAACGCCATTGTATACATGTATATATATTATGGAGTGGCATAACTAAAATAGAAATTATATCTTATTCCCGCATCCCAAAAAGTTCGATCAATTTGACTTTTCTTGATCATTTGTGTTAAAGTTTTAGACAACGATTTTAGGTATTACTCCGTATAATTTGTACAATTTATAAATTTTATACTTTTATGTAAGATTTTTTAATAAAGAATATGCTCATATAATTTTCATATTTTCAATAATTTTGTATAATAAAAAATTGGTCAAACTTAATCACCATTAACCAAGAAAAGTCAAATTGCCCAATCTTTTTATTTCAAAAGGAGTAATAATTGAATAGATAAAATAAATAAATAAAATGAAGGAAAAATGTATAGTACGTACTCCCATCTCCTAGCTGATAGACAGCGTCCATGAATTTCTGATGGAGCTCAGCGGTCCATTCCGTGGAAGGTTTTCGCTTGGCGGTCGAACCCTTTCCCCTAATTCTATAACTCTTCTCATCAATATTATAATTATTATTAAATTTTTCTTGAGAGTAATGATCGTTTCTCATCAATAATCCCTTCCCCTTATTGTCACCATTATTATTGAGGATTACTTGCCCAACTTTCTCCATCTCTTTGGCTCTTGTAATCCTTTTCCTCACTACATATTGCCACAAGTTCTTCCATGTGTCTTCACAGACTGCTGTTTTGGCAAGTAGCATGAAAGCTCCCTGCTCTATAGCCCTTGCCGCCATATTGGCATCGTCTATGTCAGACAATACTGCATTCAACAATGTCAGAAATGAGAACGGTCTAAAACAATGCATATTATAGTTCACGGAAGTGCATTTTTATGATTAAAATAATGCAAAGTTCAAATGTAGGTACATCTATATTTGTGGTTAAAATAATGTGCAATTCAAATGCACATTTTCAAGCTTATATGAACACACCTTATTATTTCAATAATGGACAATACCTAAATCTAATGCTCCAAAGTTATTCTCATTTTTCTCCTTATATGATTATGTTCTCATTTGAAACAATTTATATATTTCGTATATAGGGGCCAGTTAAAATAAAAAAGTTCTTAACGTGTAAAATGTGAAAATATCACTTTTACAGCTCTATGTAGGGTGCACTTGTATGTTCATATGGTGCACTTTTACAAGTTTGTAAAAAGTTCCACTTATCTATAAAAATGTCATTGCATTCCATCCAAAAGTGCACTTTTATAAATGGTTAAAGTGCAACAACATTTCATACAAGTGCACTATATAGGTGGTTAGGAGTGGATTTGGCACTTTCACACATCAAGATAGTTTTTTATTTGATCCTAATTAACTTTATACATAAAGGTGTGGGGTCAACCCTAATTTAAGTAAATCTAACACACACTATATATTGAAAACTTACAAATGACTAGCAATTGCATGCTAACGGCCTCGCGTAGGAGCATAACCCCTTGTAGATCAGGAGAATGGATGTTTGCAATAACCACATCATATTTCTCCTTTTTCAGGGATAAAATTGTCAAGGCAGCAGAAGCACAGTTCACCCATGTAACTGGAACAATTTAAACAACCACACAAAAGATTGTAGGATATTTTCAAATGCACATAATCTTAAATCCAAATAAATATCATATTATACAGTAAAGTAGTTTTTTAGTTCATATAAAAGGTTCGTATTAAAGGCCAACTCGATAGAAAGAACAATTTGAAAAGTTATAAAACCATAGAGTATTTATTAATTCATGTTTAATTTTACCGGTTCAAGTCGACACATGCATTCGTCGATGTTAGAATCCCACACCGGAAAACTTTGAATCAGCAAAGTGCTATATTAAGGCATGAGCTACTCCTCCTATCAGGTTGACCATTTAGGATGGAACCCCACGTCTTAACATGGTATCAAAGCTTCACTAGGGCTCTGCGGCATCTTCTTCGGCTTTCATCAGGAACGACACCAGCGTGTCTAAACCTTGATCGCCATGGCCGCCGACCCCACTTCTCCATACTATCTCGGAGCTGGTGATCAGCCCGGGAATCTAATTATTCACGTGATCTTTACAGGGGATAATTACGTGGGATGGTCTCACGCTATTGCTTTGTCTTTAAAGGCACGAAGAAAATATTATTTCGTGGATGGAACTTTGACCAAGCCGACTGAAGCGGCGAAGATTGTGGACTGGGAGACTAACAATTCGATGGTGGTCTCTTGGCTATTGCGAAGCATGGAGGCCAATGTGGTGATGTCTATCCCGTTCCATGAAGAGGCACGCGCCCTGTGGCTGTATTTGGAGAAAAGGTTCAGCGTCGCTAATGGACCGCGTCTTCAGCAGCTGCGGGCATCCATCACAGAGTGCCGGCAGAAGAAAACGATGTCCGTGGATGAATACTTTACGGAAATTGATGGGCCTCTTTGACGAGTTGAGTCGGCTCAAACCCTTGCATATGTGTACATGCGGTTTGTGTACATGCGGTGTGGCGGGGAAATTTGCCGCGGATAGGGAGGAGGAGAAACTTCACCAATTTTTGATCGGAATTGACGACGAAACTTATGGGACTGTCCGCTCAAATCTGCTCTCGCACGACCCTCTCCCGGACCATAACCGTGCTCATCAGGTTTTTCTCCAAGAGGAGAATTCCCGAGCAATTGCCCGCGCCAAACAGCCAGCTCCCGTTGTTGACATCCAAGCGTTCACTGTCACGAAGAATTGCCCGGACCGGGCAGATCACATGAAGCTCTTGTGCAGCCATTGCAAGTAAAAAGGGCATGAAATTGGCAATTGTTTTAAGCTCCATGGTTACCCGGATTGGTGGGATGAGAGGAAGAATAAAGTGACGAGTGGAAACCGGGATGGTGTCCGTGACGGTACCGGTCGTGGAGGCAGTGTACGCACTCACGCTGTGTCTCCCGCTCTTCTGTCAGGCAGTGGCAACGAGCCCGGGACTTCCAGCGAAAATGTGTCTCCGGGAAACGGGTTGAACAACCTCACTAAAGAACTGGTTCAAGCTCTCCTAAATTTGATTAATCTTCAGACTGGCTCGGGGGAACGCATGTCAGGTACATGTTCTTCCTTACCTTGGATACTCGAAACCGGAGCATCTCATCATGTAACGGGTGATGCGTCCTGTCTCAAAAACCGGACTCATATTCGGGCTTGTCCGGTTGGACTACCTGATGGACAGACAGTAGCGGCTACCATGGTCAGACGTGTGCACTTGTCTAAATCTTTAACACTTGAATGTGTGCTGTTTGTGGCTGGATTGAATTGTCACCTCATCTTTATTTTCCAGTTGATTGATCAGTTGGCATGTACTGTTACTTTCACTAATTTATTTTGTGCTATTCAGGACCCACACTCGAGGAACCTGATTGGAGCAGGTGAAAGGCGAGATGGGCTTTATATTTTCCGTGGCGTTCCAGTTTTGCATGCAGTTCACAAGTCGGATCTGTCAGATTTTGAGCTATGGCATTGTAGATTGGGACATCCGTCGAATCGTGTACTTAAGCTTTTACCCCATATTGTTACTAGTTCTTTTAAGAAAACTTTGAATAAAACCTGCGAGGTGTGTCACAGGCCAATCAAGTTCGTGATTTTTTTCCTGCTAGCAATAATAAAGCTAGTCGCAGTTTAAAATGGATTCATTGTGATTTGTGGGGGCGGGGGGCTATAAGACCCCTTCTACAAGCAATGCTACTTATTTCCTGACTTTGGTTGATGATTTTTCACGTGCTGTGTGGGTGTATTTATTACATGATAAAAAGGAAGTTTTTCACGATTTTGTGTCCTTTATCACTATGGTTGAAAAACAATTTGACAAAACTGTGAAAATTATCTGGAGTGACAATGGGACAGAGTTTCATTGTATGCTGCCCTACTTTGATAATCATTGTATCAGAACCAAATCGATCCATGGTGTGGCCCCTTTATGAAAAATGACGACACGATAAAAAAAATGAATGACGCACCGACGAAAAAAATGAATGACGGCACGATCCAGACGAAGTGTCTGGTCGTGAGGAGGAGTGTTAGAATCCCACACCGGAAAACTTTGAATCAGCAAAGTGCTATATTAAGACATGAGCTACTCCTCCTATAAGGTTGACCTTTTAAGATTGAACCTCGTGTCTTAACAGTCGATCAATTCGATCATCATAATTGATGCCATTTTTACATTTTTCACATATGGGTGACATATATGGCTCGTATACTCACATGATTTACTCATATACCATGTTAAGACATAAATTCCACAATAAAAAAATCAACTAATGAGATGTTTACATAATAATTTGATTATTAAAAAATTTATTTTACAATTACTCATATTTTATTTTCTCTAATTGTAAACAAATGACATGTCCATAGGTAACGAAACCCTTAAAATTAATACTCCATATAATGATTTCAAAAATACATTTTCCTTCCACTACCATTTGAACATATAAAAAGTGACGCGTATTTTTTTAAACTAACAACGTATATTGCGAAAAATACATCAATTTTATGGTTGATATCACATTAATTTACAAATATGAATGCATTTGAATTGTATAGATGTTATCAATGAAACTATGAGATTTGAATTTGTTGGGTTAAGAAATTTACCTAAATGGGAGTAAATAGATCTTTAATTGCCAAAATAGGACTAAAGTTTGAAAATTCTCTAAACAGGAGTTATTATTTGTATTTGGACTAAAACGCCCTTGAAGCTTGAAAAACACACCGCCACCGACCAGAACACCGGACCACCTCCAGCCACCCATCGCCGCCTATCGCCGCCGGTCGCCGCCGGTCGCCGGAAGTCTCCGCCACATCAAAACCGGCCGCCGTTGCAGATCTGACTGTCGCCAATGTAGATACAGTTGTTGCCGCTGCAGATTTTGTGGACGACGCCGGAGATCTGGTCAGATCTATGCTCCGTCGGTATCCACTTGCTGCCCTCGTAGATCTGACCACCCTTGTAGATCTAGCCTTTGCCGACACGAATGCCAACATTTTTATCAAAATGCCCAAATGAATCGAGAATGCCATTTTAATGGCATTTTCAAAGAAAAATACAATTTTTTTATAGAATATGAATGCCATTTTTGTGGCATTTTCGGAGTTCAACTTGGCATTTTTTACCAATCAAAGAAGAAAAAGAGATTTGCAACGAAATATTACAGAGGAAGAGAGAACAAGAGAAGAGGGGAGGAAGGACGGGGATAACCATTAGAGAAGAGAACCTGACCTTCGAAGAAGAGAAGAAGACCTTCGGAGCGACGGCGGCGGACTTCGCTCAGCGGCGGCGGACTTCGCTCAGCGACTGCGATGGCTAGGACTGGACTTCTAAGTTTGGTTGTTGTTGTGCAAAGGGGAAGGAGGAGAAGATTTGCAGGAAGGAGAAAGGGATCTGTATGGAAGAGAAAAGAAGTTGCGTAGGGGGAGAAGAAATGCCGCAGGGAGAGAGGAAGAGAAAGAAGATGCGCAGGGGAGGAGACGCGCGTAGGGTGGAGAAAGAGAAAGAATAAGGTTAAATGGGTAATTAAGTCCTATTTAGGGAAAAAAATATACACACTCCTATTTAGGAATTTCAGTAATAATTAAGTCCCTTTTAGGGTAAAAAATCCTTATAGGAATGATTGAATTTATAGGAATGATTGATGAATTTATTGCAATTTTAAAGCTAATAACTATCATTGAAGTATAACTTTTCCTTTTGCTTGAGAAAACTAATTAGCCAATAGGAGCTACTAGTTTGAAGAAGTAGAATTATTAAATATACTACGTATTACATAGTATTATTAATAATAAGTGAAAAGGAAGAAGTTATAACTAACCATTAGGTCAAATACATTTTATTATTAATAATAAGTGAAAAGGGAGAAGTTATAACTAACCATTAGGTCAAATATTATTAATAATTTATTTTGCAATGGTAAGTTATTAGCTTTAAAATTGTAAGCAAGTTCTCAAAAGGAACTATTGGAGATACTCTAACAAGCAAAACAATCCATTGTTGCCCAGCCACTGCCTCCGGCTTCTGGCCACCACTCACCTGCCCCTACATGTTTGTGGAATCCATAAAAAAATTTCATTATGGATGCGCTACCAGTTTGCGCAACTGCCGCCGTCATCACCGGACTGCCCCACCATCAACATACTCACCCGATTATGCAAGGCAATTGGGAGGCAATTAATCATATTGATTAATTAGATTTGGGGTATTAAGGGTAAAAGAATTAATGTTTAGTCATCATATTTAGGGAAGATTCTTGTTTTACAACAATTTGTGCAAGTATGTTTGAGTTTACTCCTATAGTCCTATATAGGGCAATTACTATGAAAACTAATGAATTGATTATGCATCTCCTTCTTAAACGGTCTTCTCTATTTTTTATATAAAAAATCCCACAAAGTGAAATACTCAAGTGCAGTATTTAGATGTAGGTATTGTGATTCATAGGCTTAACTAAAAATGATTAAAAATATATATAGAAGGTTTTTGAAAGAGAAAAATGTTTCATTATTTCCATTTTATATATGTTATCTAAATCTCTCATATCATGTATGTATCGTGTATATTGTAGTATTGGTTATATCGAAATCCAATCTATTATTAATATGGACTCCTATTAATATTATTATTATTGGTGAGAAAGACGGTGCCCCAAACATAAATGTTTACTAAGGCATAAGGGCATCTCCATCCATTATTGGATTATTAGAGGATTAAATTGGTGACGTGGCGGATTGTTTTTGAGATCATGGTTGAGTGATGAAGATTATTTAGTGAGATTATTTGACAAAATAACTCGGGATTGAAATATGAATCCAGACCATCTCAAGATTATTGTGAAGCTAATATTAATTAGTAAGTGCAGGACCCACAAATCTACGTGTCATTGAAAAAACTATTGAAAACACCGTATATTTAAATAACATGAATGTTGATGCTCTAACTGATAAGAACACAATCATTGACACCTTATATTCGATCTCACATTATTAGCTAATATCAATCAATTTGTTCATAAAGGTTGAATCCCCAACCCCAAGGGTCCTCAATGCTCCGACCCGACAATGCATATTGAAGGATGTAAATCACGGTGACTCAGTCAGCGTAATAGTGGTAGGTCTTATACTCGTGTGAATCAGAGGTCCAGCCCAACACGTAGAAGCTGTAACCTCCACACGATAGCTGTGAGATTGGAAGCTTGGAAAAGTAGAATGTTACTGTATTAGTATCCCTTTTCGAAAAGTATTTCCCCTCAAATCGTAGTCATCAACAAAATTACCATTACCAAAAGTTGAAACAAGAAATGATGTAAAAGGCTAGATCCCACGCATAACTTGAAATATCTAAATTTAATACTCCATATTAAATTTTTGTAACAAATTGAATTGGATTCAGTAACACAAATTAGCGAATAGATCCAAACTTTCAATTGAATTCCACGTACCAAACACTACAAATTAATGTGGAGTAACGAATTTTTAATTTGATTTAATCAATTTAAAGTTTTTAACGAATGAGTATCAAAAAAGACATGCATTTACTTAAAGTGAAGAAAATGACTTGTCTGGATTAATGAGGAAATTAAAGTGTGTTTACTTAAAAAAACATTCAACAGGAATGTAGAAATTTGGCGAAAATAAATTTTTATGCTTATTAAGAAATTCGGTGTTAGCCGATACAAATTAAAGTACGTTTTATCATTTTTTTTCCCTTCTTGTCTGTTTTCTTTTTTGGCATCGATATCATGGATCGATTCATGTTAGTCGAACCCAAAATCTTTTGGGATTAAAGCTTGGATGTTGTTGTATTAAGAAATTCAGTGTTAATGAAGATATTTGGAAAAAGTTGATTAAAAGTAAATGATTTAAGCACAATTAGTTTCTTTTAATGAAGGTACATATAACCATATATAATATATGAACGTTGTTTAATTTGTATCATTGAATAGATATTATAAAAGGTTAGAATTACTGCCCCCAAAAAAGTAACACATACCTTTGTAAGAGTATCGTTGGAGCATCTCAACCGTTGAGACAGCAAAGTTGAGGTCATGATCAGCTAGTAACACATGAATGTTATGGGTTACTCTACACAGCGATGCCAATGAAAGTATATGAGACTCGTATTCTGATAATCCCCACATTCTTAATTGAAGAACTTATTATAAGATGTTGATCAAAAGGGAATGAAGATTTTTTTCTTTTTATATACGATATATATGTGTGTGTAAATATATATATATGTATAAGATTTGTTCTCTTCAATCGAATCCGAGTGGATGTTGGTGTTATTTATCCCGGTTCAAACCACACTATGTGGGTGGTGCCGGGGAACATGCCTCCCTAATTCATTTGCTTTTGAGAAGTAGTTTTACTCGTTTAGATATATTTTTACATTGAATTAGATATCATTTTCTAATTTTGCTTATGGAAATCTATTCGTAGAATACAATTCCATTTGTGACCCACTTATTTGTAGTTTCCACTATGCACAACTTCTTCTGTGACCAACTCATTTGTCATTTCCATTATGCACAACTTCTTGTTCTATTCTGCGTTTGCTACTTTTTTTGTCGATCCAAATATTCATGTTTGGTTCAAATATTATGATGTATTTAAAAGTGTCGTACACTTTTCGTTTTTGATAAGGTTTTCCTTTACAAATATTCAATTATTCTTACTTTTGACTCCGTATATGTTATATTTTCTTTATATACTTCTCCACTTTTTCTTCTACTTTTTGTACACTATTCATTACACATTACTTATTCATAAATAATTTGTCCAAACATATAGTATTGAACTTTTAAATATGGAGAAACCGAAGGAGTACGTGAATTGAAGTTGAATATGAACATTTTGTGGAATGGAGGAAGTACTTCTCTATAAATAGAATACTATATATTAATAATACAATTGAAGTGGATTGCAAATGACGTTCTCCAAGATGCAGTGTACAATAAATGCATTCGATCAATTTGGTGGAATGGCTTTGACTTGGGCTTATTTTATCAACGCGCAGTTTAAGTCATAATTTTCTAAAATTACGAAATAGCAACAAAACATAAAACAAATTCTCAGATAGATGTATATTTTTTTCTCCTATTTAACGTAATTTTATTAAATTCTCAGATAGATGTATATTTTTTTTCCTCCTATTTAACATAATTTTATTCTTTTGATATGATTAAATGCTGCCTCTGCATCAAAATAACTATGTCAGTGTTCTTTTCGATCAGGTTGTATTAAATTAATTGTGTCCTCTAAAAGCGGTTACAATACTGCTACAGTATAACTAAAGTATCAAAAATCTCTTATATTGAACTAGTGAAAAAAATGGCACAATCATTTTGATATGAAGGTAGTAGATTTTATTTTAAGAAAAAATTAAATCATGTTTAATCCATGTGTATTCTTAAATACTCATTTATATTAAACCATGTGTAGGTATAACTCTATTTTTGGGCGGATGTGTACATATATCTCATGAGGTTCTAACATTTGAGGCCCTCAATTAATTTGAGAAGTTGAGATTAGCTTATCTCAATTCTCAACTAAAAAAGTTCACATCAACATATTTCTACGGGAAAAATGCTTTGTTTACACATTTTTGTGTACACATTTTGTACACTCGTCTGTCCCACGCACAATAAAATGTCTGTCCACAGACAATTCTACAGAATTGTCTGTGGTCAAACAATTCTTTATATGCGAGACAGACGAGTGTACAAAAGGTGTACACAAAAATGTGTACACGTCGCACAACTCTTTCTACGGTAATAACTCATGTGTATTCATTTTACTCGTTCCTGAAATAGAAATAAAATGTAATCATGAAAACATAAGCCATTCAAAGGTATTTATTACGCATATATAATGCTTGGAAAAGGGTTATTAATGTTTTGTGGGTTGATTCCTTTAACGTGTTTAGTCATTTAGTCAAGTCAACATCTCAAATCCAGTTGGCAGTCAATTACTTATCGTGCTTTGACAATATTTGTGAGAGTATTTGTGAGGATGTTTGTTTACATTTGTTTTAATTTGATTTGAACTGGTGTCATCTTATAGATGTATGATTTATGCGTGTTTTTTTGGAGGAGGTCTATACGTATTTTATAAATGTTAAGGTTTGGTTTAGCCTAATCAATTTAAGTCTATCTGGTTTAGTCAATTTAAGTCTGAACTAGTCTAATATAGGATTGAAATATGTTCAAGTAAAAACATCCTTAGTCTTGGACTCAAAGGGTTGAAAAGAAAATTGATCAAAAAAAGATTAAAACATAATCATCTTCCAAACATAGTTATTATATGAGGTGTATTGGGAGTCTATATGATTATTTATATTCAATCACAAATAATAAATTCTATTTATGTCCGCCTGCGTAAACCT